ATTCTACTCTGGGGCCATACAAATTGTTTGGTTTGCAAAACTGAGCAACTGCTTACCGCAAACCTGAGGGCAAGCTCCAATTTCTTTCATCTTCCTTTGTTTAATATTAAGTATGCAGCTGTTTTAAAAATAATACAATCCCAGGGCAAGTCAGCATGCTCCCTAAGTGCACACAGTGGTGCCAGTGGAAGGGAAGAAATGGGGACTACTCCTCCCGCCTCCAGCCTTAGCTCCGACTGTTCTTAAGCACGGAGCAATGCCTACAGTGCCAACCTGGGCCCAAAGAGAATTGAGGGAAGCAACAGCTTCCTATTGTGGCAAAAGTGTGATACCCAGGTGTTTCATTAGCAATGTCTTCTGCCTAATATTTTGTTCACAACTGATTTATTTCTCACTCCTGAGAAAAATTAAGTACCTTTTATGCCGAATGAACTCATCGCAGACTGGTATATCTCTTCAGTCCAGGAATTAGGAAAAAGAGCAACAAGCCTTTCACATTAGCTTATTTTAGAGATTGCCAGAGGAATCTGATTAAAACCCCAGGAGCTGCATCAGAAAATAAGTTCTGGCTGATGAAACAGGGAATATATATTTGTTAATGAATAAAATAGGAGTGTACCTGTCTATTGCTGAAAAGGCAGATGGATTTTCTATGGACCAACAGCTCCCTCTCTGAATTATGTGAAATTTTGATGCTTTAGAAATCTTCTGCAGCAAAACATTTGAGGAAAAGGTACATTTGTTGAATAATACTTCATAAGTTTTCAGCACTGTTGTTAACTGATAAACTTTGTTTTCATTTGACTTTCATATATATCTAAGTTGTAGAATAATAGATTTTAAATTTCACTTAAGCTCCCATCCAGTTATAATTTCTGTTTAGATATCCAGATATAGTGTATCAAATTACAGGGGTGGTTTTTATCAGTAAAGAAAATGTGCAGTTAGCGCTAATGCTGACAGTACGATTGCCTCCCAGAATGGTTATTTAAATGCCACTGCAGTCTAACTATGTAGAAGATTATAACCCAATATAACTAAAATTATTCCTACCAATATGAGCCATTCAACAATGGAACCAACTCCCTAGAGGAATAAGGGGCTCTCCTTCACTTTATGGGTTTAAGCAGAATCTGGACGGCTGTCTGTCAGGGTTCATTTAATGTGGATTCTTATGCTGAGGACATTCAACAATTGGACTCACAGATCAAAATGGACCTTCCTACTCTATGATTCTGTAAGCCTTTTCAAGTTCACTTTGGTCAGATAGATCCTCTTCTTAAAAATATACAGTTCAAAATATTGTTAGATTATGTCCCTTAGAAACTCATGTCTGTCAATGCAATAATTTAATGACTTTCCAGAATGCAGAATTTATCTGTGGGATAAAGAAGGGAGACAAGGCTAAGTTATGCACAGAGATATTGAGACTGGGAGGGAGACCAATACAGGAAGCAGGTCCTGCCTCTAGATTGCTGGATATTTTCTTTGACCTTCTCAAATATTCTGTGCAGCCAAGTGTGATGACCTTCAACTTGCTCAGAGCAAGAACAGAAGACATTCTTTCTGACTTTGTTTAAATTGTACTCTCTCAGTGTAAGATCCCAAGGGTTTCTGTATGCTCATTGTCATACATGGAAATGCCTGGGTTTCCTGTGGCCACTTGGACCACACTAAAACTCAACATGTAATGCTAACAGTTCGAGGTAGAAACTTCACAAATACATCTGGACCTCTGGGGTTTAGCAGAATATGTGAAATATTGCGGAATGTGAATACCCAAAATCACATTTGAGGATTATGAAAAGGACGACTCTTTCTATTTAACTGTCATATAGACATCTTGCTCTCTTAATATTTATCAATACATTATCGGTTTGTTTTATTTCTGTGATATGGACCTGCAGGAAATTCTAGAAGTAATTATCATGAAATGGCACTACTCTGCTGCAGGTTAATTCAGAGAAAATTGCACTAGAGTAAAGACAGTTAAGCCACTGCGGCTTAATACTACAAATTGGATGATGCGTGTTTCAATACATATACAGTATGAGCTCTTTGCAGCAAGTACACTGATTTTTCATCAAAGTAATATTCTGTCATGGTTTGTGGAGCACAGATACAACTCCAGAAAATTGGTTTAGGAGTGCAGAAAGAGGTTACAATTGTCCTGCTTATACATAAAATGCATACATTCTGGGACTGAAAGCTGGAGGGTCGCTTTCTTGTCATCTGCTATGGAGTATGATCTTAGGCGCATTTCAGTCCAGTCACAGGTGGCAGGAAAGAGTAAAAGAGTACTGGCACTATCAAACGGGGAGTAGATTTAGGAGACAATGAAGTAAACAATAGTACTTTGCCTTTCTGTTGTAGATGAGCATAGCGATAACAAGGTTTGGCAGCTTCTTCTCTGTGTAGCTAAACACGGAGATAATAAGATTGGGCAGAAGTCCTTGATCTTGAGAGCAGAAGGACAGAGACACTACCCTCAAAGGAACGATGCTGCTAAACATGCAGCAAGATGGAGACCCCTCAGCCTACCCACGGGGCAAAACAGCAGATGCTGCAGGCAGCTTCCTTCAGCTCTTCACTCCTGAGAGAGCCCTCCACCCTGTCTGTTGGGGAACCTGCATCCACTGATGCTGTTCAGACAGCATTAGGCTGTCACTTCATTCTGCCCTTTTTCTTGAGCACATTGTCTAAGCCAGATTGCTGTCGTGATTAAGGAACCAGGCTAGAAACCGGGAAACTGTGAGTTCTAATCTCACCTAGGCACAAAGCCAGCTGGGTGACCTTGGGCCAGTCCCTCTCTCTCAGCCCTGGGAAGCAGGCAAAGGCAAACCACTTCCGAAAAACGTTGCCAGGAAAACTGCAGGGACTAGTCCAGGCAGTTGCCAGGAGTCAACCCTGACTTGAAGGCAAAGAGCCAGTTGTTTTTTAACTTGCAAGCCTGATGGCAGAAACTGCCCATCTCTTTTTTCACCACTTATTATACTTATTTATTAGATTTTCATCCCACCTTTATTTTTGGTCAACTCAAGGCGGTGTACATACTTAATATTCCACTTTAGGAGACAATGGAAGGCGAACTAAAAAATAATAATAAGTAATTGACCAAGGTGTGGTGTAACTCTGTATCTGTTCTGCTGCCTTAAGTGCCTTTTATCCCTGCCTTCAGAGAAGAAGGCCTACTGCGTGTGCGAAAGAAATCACTGCACTCTCTCCTAGAGAAGCAACCCAGTGGCTGCAATGAGCGAAAGCCCACATGAGGCAGCTTTCCTAGTCAGACTCACAATAAGGAAGTGATCAAGGAGAGGTCCATCTTCTCAATCCGAGTTTCTCCCCGGCAGAGGATAACTGGCATGTAAACAAGGAGGCTTGTAAGGAACTCATCTGAGCAAACCTAATTTTTTGGTTACTTTATTTGTTACATTTACTGTAAATGGTTGCTGTGTGGTCTGTGGTTGCTTTTTTTAGACAAATGTTATTGTCATTCGGAGGGGAAACAAATAATTTTTGCAATGCATGCATTCTGGGGCTTAGTGAATACTACTGCATGCTTAACTACAAGACAAAATGGAACAGGCCAAATGTAATGTGGTTGCATCATCAGCCTATAGCATGAAGAACAAGAACCAGATATCTGAGCTTCACTAGGCCAGCTCCTTATAGTATTTTATTTGGTATTCAGAGTTAACTGGAGTTGATGTACTTTTGAAGTTAAAAGTTGTGTACTTTTAGGGCAATGTTTCTCAACTGGGTGTCCACTAGACATTTTTGTTACCTACCGTGCTGACTAGGGGTGCTTGGCCACTTTCAGGGGGCAAATGACAAAACACGCATCACATTAGGGCACAAACTCCATCCCTTTTGTACATGCACCATTCGTACTTTTGACGAAATCTCCAGACTCTGCAGATGCCACTCTGGTGGTAAAGAGAGTTGTAGTCTTAACACACTCTCTTGGGGAAATCTGTGTTATGGGATATGTCTCTAGCAATACTGAATCCTCATGACTAAAAACTTCAGTTAACCAAACAGAACACAATAAATATCAGAGGCATAATCTGTAAGGTATACTTCATCTAATTACATCCAGTTAGTGGCAGATCAAGAAACTAACAGAAAGCTGTAAATGTTCAGAAGGCATTGCGGTCACGGAAAGAGAACTGGGCTGCCTGTGGCCGATTTCTGCCTACGTGCCCCTGCCCATGAAGTAAATGACTTTGCCCTGCTGGGGAGCAAAACAAGCCTCGTGAAAGGAAACAACAGGACTTCCTTCTCTTCCACTGCTGTAACTAGGAGGGGTCACTGGAGGGCCAATCCAAGTGGGCACAGAAGCAGCCCCAAGCCCAGCAAGTGGAGTTCAGTAGCAGAGCGTGGCTGAAAGGGGAGGGAGCGGGATCCCTTCCCTGGGAGACAACTGGTGCAAACGGAAGGGCCAGCCCAAGGGATGAGGCTCAGCAGAACCATGTGGAGCTGCAGACTGATCTGACTGGGGGTGAGGGAGGCTTGAGGGCCTTCCTGAGGGCCTACTTCTGCACAGAATTTGTGGCAGATGCTGGGGCAAGGTGACAGTCAAGTCAGTTTGTTGCCCTCAAAACTTCCTAGTCCAGTCCAGAGGCACACAAAATGTGCAACAGGAGATCAAACCCAGAGAAAAGCTCACACCTTCTGTGACAATTACTTCTTCTTTTCAATGTAGTTTTGAATGTAAGCAAATATACCATGCCACTGAATTGTCCAAAAGACTAAAGAGTTCCAAAAATTCCTAGTTCCTGGGTGAATCCGGGTCTGACTTGAAGGCACTCTGCTGTCATGACTCTCATTTTTTGCTGTAAGTACATGTGTTATTGTGAAATTATTTGTTCACTTTTAAACATTTGATTAAAAAATTTAAATTCTTTTTGAAACATATATGCCATCCTCCAAAACCAGGTTATCCCAGGGTAGCTTACAACATAATGACAACAAAAAAGTATCTTACTTGAGAAGACAAAGCATTCTTAACACATCTGTTTATTGGATATTTTTAGGATCAGAAAAAGGAGAACAAATGGGTTACAGAGATCAATTACATTTGGATGCACACACATGCGCGCACACACACAATAAGTCTATGTGATTGTGGCAGGGGAATTGCATGATAAAAGCCTACTTTGGATGCACTCGGTTCATCAATATTTTGAATCCATTCGTAGCTGATACAGGCACCTCACAAGTAGGATACTGTATGAAAGCCTTTTTTTGTGATTTGGCTTTGACAGCTATAATTCAGAGATGCATATTATTTTGTCTGAGTAGGAATCTGTTCTGATTGCTACTTGGATTGAAGACTTCCAGGGAATTTCAGAGCTGTAGAAAAGGAACTGAAGAAGAGAACAATGGCAAACCACGTCTATAATGTTGTCTCCAAAACTATATTGGAGTCACCAGGAATACTTGAGGTTGATTCAAAAGAGAATTTAAAAATAAATATCAGGTTCACCTGCGCATGTGCACGCGTGCACGCACACACCCACACAAATAGCATATCACTTGCATCTTATTTTCAAAGATAGTATTTAAAAAATAACTTACAAATAGGAGGATGAGGCACTGAAAGAAACGAATAGACCAAGGTCATGAAACATATTAACATGCAATAATGAATATTTTAAAAACTATATTACAGCTATATTGTCACAAAATCTTTGTGAAGAGCAACTCAGAAATACATATAATTTTCATTTGTTATGCAGTCTACTCTTACAACAGAAAATTGGAGACCTAATATTAAAACTACAGCATTTTATACTCACAATGTTGTTCAAATACATGGTTAAATATATTTATCTTTCAGTACAACTGCAAAATATGTTTTTTAAAAAAATATATACTGTAAAATGCATATAGTATAGTCAAGGTAACTAGGGAAGGAGCTATCTGCTTCCCCAGCAAGGTCTTTTGCAAAGCAATGATCATTTAGCATTTTGCTCCAAAGCAGAGTACTCCATTTCTGAAACCTTGGAAGTATCAATCAGTTTTGTAAGGCCAGTTTTAGCTGAGTACTTAAAGATAAATGCCTTCATGAGTTCATACTTGTAGTTTCGATTGATGAAGCTATAGAGGATGGGGTTGATGCAACAATGAACCAGAGAGAAGCACTGAGTAACGTGAAGGGCTGCATAAAGGAAGTTCTCCATTTGGCAGCTGAAGGGTATGAAATGGAAGGCCAAGAAGAAGTCAAGCAAGACAATTATGTGGTATGGCAGCCAACAGACAAGGAATACGAGGACATAGGAAAAAATGATTTTCACATTACTCTTCCTCTCTTGATCATTAGAGGCCGATACAGCTGTTGCTAGAAGACAATAGGAAATAGCAATGACAGGAAAGGGAATGACAAAACCTAAAATAACAGAGGTTAGCTCTGTGCCAGCTAGCCACTGCTTTGCAGTCTCCTCTGGATAGACAGGACGACAGTAGGTTTCATTGTTGGAGGAAACTGTCTTAAGGTAGTAGGTATCAGGAAGGGCTGCAAAGAAGGCAAAGAGCCATACCAAGATGCAAATGCAGCAACGGAGTCTCTTCTTTTTAACACTGCTGGCAGTTTTGAAGTAAGCAACTGAAAGGTACCGGTCCACACTCATACATGTCAGGAAGAAGATGCTGCCATACAGATTGATGGAGAACACAAGGTGAGCTATCTTGCATGTGATTTCCCCCATGTTCCACTGGCTATGCTGAACAAAGGAGACCACCCAGACAGGAAGAGTGATGATCACACAGAGGTCAGCAACAGCAAGGTTGAAGATATACAAGTGAGTTTCATAGCTGGTAATTTTGGCTTGAAAATTCATCCAGACTACCACAAAATTGGCCACTAAGCCAATCATAAAAATAAAGATATACAAAAAGGAGAGCGTATAGAGCAGAGCACTTTTGCTAAGCACATTTGGGCACGACAAGGAGTCCACTGTGATACAGTCTCCATTGTTGCAGGTCACATTGGTTTCAGTGAGATTCTCCACTTCCACAAGTTCAAATATCAGAGGCAAATCAACAGTATTCATTGCAGATGAATGTTGATGAAATTAATCTGAAAAAAGAAAGAGCAAAAAAGACAGCATGAACAGTTTAGTCAAAGAGTATCCATTATTTGCAGTTGCCTTTACGTCAAATAACTTATGAATTCCACAAAAGTACTGCAGGCTTTGGCTAGGCAGAATGTTACACATGCCATTGTGTAATTACTTCTAATTTTAACAAATTGCAGATGTGGAATAAGAATCACAGTGGTAAACTGTATGCAAATGAAACAACAACATTGGCTTTTTGGTCACTTTTTAACAGATATTCCATATGATATTTCATTGAATATTGTCCCTATTTATAAAATGCAAAGGTCATTAAGGACAAAGAACCTTGGGTAGACTATCTTTATTTTAGAACTCTTTATTCAAGGATCTCAGTCTTCTGATTCTCAAAGTCGCCTCTAAAATAAAAAGGTTTTAATGTAGAAAGTTTTAATGTCAGGAAAGTAATGTAAGGAAAACTAAACATTTAGATGGAATGAAACAGAGACAGGCAATTGCAGAAATAGGTCCTATTTTGGCCCTAGAAAAGCATGTGAGAGGCTCACCTCTCTTCAGGTACAGCGCAGGGTGGACACAGCTCTTATCACACAACCAGCCTGTCTGCCAGCAGGCAAGGTTTGAAGCAACAGGGACACAGGCTGTTTCATAACATACAGACCTGCATTTCATGCTAGTGGAAATAACAAGCATGGCTAAGCAGGGGTGTTATCTTGGATGAAATGTTTCTAGGACTCAAAGAAGAAAGACAGAGAGAAGCATGTTTACTGTAAACAGCTTTAAGAAATTCCCATCTTACCTGCCGGGGTGATATTAACCCTTGGGAATCTGAAACCACATTAATCCTATACTGTCCTCAGAATCCAAGTGTCTTCCACACAAAACACAGAACGCCCCACACATTGCAGAAGGTTAGACCAGATGACCCTTGGGGTCTTCTCTCACTCCCACAATTCTGATTCTTCTATTCTCATCAGGGAAGGGAAGGGAAGTGTGGAGTCCTTGGAGTTCTCTGAGCTTGGTTGTTTTCTTGCAAACGTTTCATTACCTGGCTAGGTAACATCTTCAGTGCTAGAATGGAATGGGGTTTGCTCTCTGTGGCATGCCCTGCCAGTGTTGGTGGGGCTGTGGGTTTGGTTTTGTTCTATTTTTTCCCTCTGGTAGGTCCTTGATTAGGGTATTGTTTACTGCATGTATGCAAAGCTCTAGGGTCTTCAGGAAACTGTTCCTGCAGGCCAGCTCTTATTGTGGCCTCCTATTCAGGAGATGACAGCTTTTCCAAAATTTGGAAAAGGGGGTGCAGTTGGATTGTGGCACAGTGCCAGACATCAGCTTCCTGCCTTATGCCACAAGCTAAAATAACTTTCCATCTTTAGCTGATACTGTCTCTCATCTTCTCCTATTAAATTTCCATCTGGCAGCCAGCACATTTCCAGACATATGTGTAGTATTTGCTGAGATTCCTTACTGTCAGATGTTGAAATAAATTGCAATTACATCAGGAAAGTTTAACAATCATCTGAGAAAGAATCAGGAAAGGTGAGATAGAGACAAGAAAATATCTGGTATGCATTCATGCACTTACAGCTGCCCACTGGACTGTGATTTTTGGGAAGATATTTGGGCTGCAGAAATTCAGATGGCCACTAGGTGGTGGCAAAGAGATGCAGAAAACTATTATTTCCTGCTGTCTGGTGGGTGTCCAGATCTTTGCAGCCCAGATTTTGTAGCCTCCCAAAAGGTAAAGAATTCCTAAGTTAAATTGCATGGCATGTAATTTTTTTGGCAATGTGGGACATATTTTTTTTTTACTTCCCTCTTTACCCTACAGCCTGGGATTTCCTATTGGTGGAGCTCTTCAGAACGACATCACCTTTAGATCTTTAAATTAAAAACTATTCCTGTTGCACAGGCAGCTTAGGCTTGACAATCATATAGACAAAAAACAGTCAAGTTAGTGCCTTCCAGATGTTTTAACACATTTGTCCCTTACCATTTATCCATTCATATCAATCCTTGCAAGCATGAAGTCCAAACCATCTAGAGAGCCCCAAATTGCCTTCCCTGGCATACAGAGAGGAGTTTATTGTATTTACTGGAAATGCTAGCAACTATTTTTTCTCTATAAACACATAAGGTCAATGATTCACATTTTTATGGGGCTGATTTTGTACTCTGAATTCTAATACTTGCCTTTTGAAGACTTAAAAACTTTCTGACATACCAGGTCTATAATTTCCAAGAATTCATTTCCCAGAATGAGTTTTATTAAACCATGGACCATTTATTTCTGGCTTTGGCACAGCATATGTTAATTGAATAAACTAGGGCTACCATATGTGGGCTGAAAAAATCTAGTTGACCACCAAATGGCAACAAAGAGAAAATTCTTAACTCTTTGTTTTCTTATTGTGACTGCCCAGATATTTGCAGCCCCAGTATGGTAGCCCCAAAGTAAACTCACATTTCTAGTCCCAAAATTAGTAATCTCTGAACTCCTATTCAAATGTCGGTCTATCATAATGGAAATTCAGCCATGATTACTAACTATGCATCTAGCAAAGGTATAGAAAACAAAGAAAATTACTTTCGCTAGCTCAAACACTCCATTTTATAGTGTCATCAAAATGGTACAATTATGTGTATGCAAAGCTATATTATATATTGAGGGACCTGAGGGCCTTATGGTGTTTCTAAATAGCCCTATAGCTCTATAAAAACACTATCCTCTTCCAATGGGAGGTAGGCTTTGTTCAGACTGGGAGAGGCAGTTAGAGATCTCTTTCTGGAGTAAGGATGACCCTAGGTCCTGAATGTAGCAAGTATTATAGAAGTAGACTTTCTGAATGAGTCTCTGACTCAGGTTTTCAGCTCAAAAGTCCAGGAGGAACTGAACCAGAACAGAAAAATTGGCAGGGAAAGCACAGGCAGAAACATAAAAGGAGAAGGTGTTTCTTTTCAGAGCTGTTTTGTAGTTGTTCTTTCACTTTTGTTCACATTTCTGTCCCTCTATTTCCTTGTTTGCAGATTAATGATTGCTAGTGTGTGTGTAGCCACACACAATAACTTGGTTCAGGCATCTTATTTTCCATGCAGTATCCTCACTGTAGTTATTCAAATAAAAATATATTTATTAATTGTTACTTCAATGTTGGGTTTGTACTAACATCATGGATTCTAAAACAGCTTTCTCTTGTCACCTTGGTGAAAAGGTAAACTGGAACAATTTCTTTAAAAGCCTTAGGTAAGAGAGGGTAGGTGATTCCTTTTCCAGAAAGAGATCTGAAAGGCTGTGTTATGTGTTAGTGACACACACCCTGTACAAATGCATACACATCCTTGGGTGGGGGTGTCTAAGCAATATTTAGAGAAAGAATACTTTGACCCAAAGGGGAAAAATGCAAACAAGTTAGAGATGGCTAGTTAGGAGGAATAAACTCCAAACAGCACCAGTCATTTCCTTTTCCTTCCTGCCACAATGCAGAGAGTTATAGAACCAATTAACCCTCATATGTTCAAGTTAATTGAATCCTGTGGAATATCCATCCTCCTCTCTGACATCCTGCTAAAAAGACATGGAAATAACGATCCTTGTCTTGGTAAGCTCAAGCTAGGCCACTGTGATGCTCTTGGTATGTTGATCAGCCTTCCAACAGGTTGAGAAAGTACAGCTGATCCAAACTACAGGGGCTTAATTAGTGTTCTTGCAGCACCAATATTTAAAGCACCACATTGGCTATGAATGAAGTCTTAAGCTAAACGTAAAGCGCTGGCTTTGATAGTTAAAGGTCTTGTGTAATCAGGAACGAGCCCCTTCTTGCCAGGGAGTTGTCCCCAAATATCCTACTGAGAATGTCACCTGGTAAAAAGGCTGCCAGCCCAAGACTTCCTTAGTGGCAGTACCTTTTTCTAACTAAAGGAGACCCATCCAGCCCATTTCTTTTCTTCTACCAAGGAGTCTATCAAAACAACTCTTCTATAAAGCTTTGATTGCTGGTTGAATCTTTCTATGGACTAGCAGTGTTTGTACATCTGGGTATAAATAAATGTATATATTTATATTGTGATTTTTAAACTGATTAGTCAGCAAATATTATATTTTAAAATATACTTCCACCCAATTCAATTTTGAGTATAAAAAGGTAGCATCTTTTATTTTCAAAAACAGTACCCAACAGCAACTTATCTGTTTTGTGAGATGACGAGAACTGCACACAATTCCCAAAGTTTCCCCCCACCTCTCCACAAAGAATAAAGTATGGGGGCTGAAAGTGTGTTTTTAGATATTATTGGTTCTTTCCAAGGAGCAAAAGTAGAAATAGGAGGAGACTGTGCTTGGACCAAATCCTGCCACAATCTAGTAGAGGCTGTACACTGGCACAGCTCTACCAGTTAGGACACTGCTGGGTTATTCCCTGAGGTTCAGTTCCCCTCAGATGAAAGTGTTCTCAGGAGAAAACTGAGGATGGGAGTGGTAAGAAAATAAGCAACCTGTGAGGAGAAGGCTCCATAGTCTTGTTCTCTGTACTTTATTTTTTGCTCTTAACTTTGGGGAAGGGGTTGCCTGCTTTCATATGAGTTTGGCCCCGAAACAATTCACTTGGTTTTCTGTCTTCTAGCCTTTTGGGGAGAGGCAGAGATTACACCTCAGGCTCAGGACCCTGGACAGAAGCCATAGTGCACCTCCAACATGAACTACTCTGTACAAAATCTGATAAAGATGTGTCCAGTTCTCTTGGACATGAGATTTGTCCTTGTTTATTTATGTCTTACCCTACAAAATATTTTAAGCCAACCCCCCCTTTTTTTTTTGACAAATGCTGTTTCCCATTATATTATGTGAGTGAGCACCACACAGACATATAATACTGGGCTCCTCGATGTAAGTTAGAACTAGGCTGACTTTGATAACACGCCTCTGAATATTGTGCCACCTGCTCAGATATATCAGGTGTTCTGGCACAACCTGCCCAACATTAGATTCTATCCAGGAGTCAACATCCCC